GCATGCAAGGCAAGCGCTCTACCACTGAGCCACCTTCCCAGCCCCATTGAGTAGCTGTTTTTTACTTTCTTTTTTAAATATGAATTTATAATAACCAAATAGTTTTACAACTATGTCTTGCTATGGATTTCAGGCTGCCATTAAACTCATTGTTCTTTTGTTTCAGCCTTCCATGAGCCTGACTTTGGCAATGAGTACATTTCTCTGTTTTTTGGTTGGTCATGGGGCTTGAACTCTGGGCTTGGGCGCTGTCCCTGCGATGAGCTTGACTTTGTTTATTTATTTATTTTTTTGAGTCCGGTCGTGGGGCCTGAGCTCTGGGCCTGGGCGCTGTCCCTCAGCTCTTCAGCTCAAGGCTAGCGCTCTACCACTTGAGCCACAGTGCCACTTCCGGCTTTTTTCTTTTTGCTTATGTGGTGCTGAGGAATTGAACCCAGGGCCTCAGGCATGCCAAGGCAAGCGCTCTACCACTGAGCCACCTTCCCAGCCCCGATGAGCCTGACTTTGAAAGACACCACATCCCCAGCTCCAGCCCAAGGTCTTGTACTCTTTCGACAACTGAAGGAAACCACCTGGCATGAGCTGAGACGGATTCACTACAATGAATCAGAGAGGGAGCTGACGACTCTTTACAGTCTGCGCATACCTGCTCAAAGAGGTACTCAAACGAGGCTGAGTCCAAGAGCTGCACCCCCTGCTCTGCCCGTTCTGAGGGTGCTTCAACCCCTGGGAATCCGCAGCGGTATACAGCAGGCTCCTGAGAATTCAGGCCATGCCAGTTGCGGAAATAAAACCTGCAAGAAGGGAAGGAATAGACCTGGCCCACGCCTGGACACGGAGGGACAAGCCCTCCCTCAGGCTTTACCCACCTCATTCGGAATAACAGCGTCATATTTGTGTCTCTGGACATGTCCAGGGTGTGGTTTGGGGGCAGCCAGACTCCGGCCTGGGCATCGAAGAGGGCAAAGAGATTGAAACAGGGCGGAGTGATGCCTGGGACGGGAAAGCAACGAGATCGGCTCAGATTTGCCTGTAACTCTACCGCCAAAGAAATATGCCACTACGACCTGCTGTCAAAGGACTCCTTCGATGTGCTCTGTTCCAGACACATCTCATCCAAGGTCCCCAAGTACGTCCCCCACCTGCCAAATATACATTCTATAAGACTCATTCTTCAAGTCAGCCTGTGCATTAAAGGCCTGGCCCCGAGGGGGGTGCTATTAGGAGGTTGTGAACAAGGCAAGGCCTGGAGGGAGGTCTTTAGGTTATTGGCAGTCGAATGTCCCAGAGACTAGACTCTGCTGATTTCTCTGCTTCTTAGCTATGCTGAGGGCAGTTCGGCTCTGACACAAGCTGCTTCCCTTACATTTGTCTCAACCACATGCCCAAAGCAACCAATACTGGGCCACGTCCTACAAAATTGTGAGTCACAGTGAACCTCTTCTCCTTGATTCACTCAGGCATTGGTGTGTGTGTGTGTGTGTGTGTGTGTGTGTGTGCTGGTCCTGGGGCTGGATCTCAGGGCTTGGGTGCTGTCACTGAGCTTTTTGGCTCAAGGCTAGTTCTCTACCATTTGAGCCACAGCTGCTCCACTTCCATATTTTTTTCCCCCAGTGGTTCATTGGAGATAAGAGTCTCCCGGACTCTCCTGCCTGGACTGGCTTTGAACCACAATCCTCAGATCTCAGCTAGGATGACAGGTATGAGCCACTGACGCGTGGCGAGGCATTGGTTTTCTGTGAGAGAAAACAGTCACACAATGTCTGAGTTCCCCACTTCCTGCTGAGAAGGTCTGAGCCCTCAGCCTGAACAGCTCTAGCCGGCATCTGTTATCATGCCCTGGATTCTGTTCCTGCTTCTCCTTCCCAGTTCTGGGAACGGACACCAGTCACCCCGAAGCTCCCCTGCTTCCTCAAACCCATAGAGCTCAAACCCATAGAGTGGGCACAGTTCCCTCAGCTGGGTGGTTGGAGGAACTATCCAGGGCCCTTTGTGGTTCCTTGTACCCCTCTGACAGCAGAACCAACTTCTCCATGAAGGAAGGCACACCCCTTTCTTAGCATGAACATCAAGAAAGACATCTGTGGGGTGGTGAGGGGGGAAAAGATGGCCAGAGGAGTGAATCAGTGCTGGGATATTCATCTCCAGAAGGGTCTCTGGGAGATTGCATGGGGCTAGAAGGTGGGGCCCCTAGAATGGTATTTGTGGCTTTATAAGAAGTAGAGGAGGAGGCTGGGAAGGTGGCTCAGTGGTAGAGCGCTTGCCTTGCATGCTCAAGGCCCTGGGTTTGATTCCTCAGCACCACATAAGCAAACAGAAAAAAGCTGGAAGTGGTGCTGTGGCTCAAGTGGTAGAGCACTACCTTACAGTGAAAAAGCTCAGGGACAGTGCCCGGGCCCTGAGTTCAAGCCCAAGATTGACCAAAAGAAAAAAAGGAAGTACCAGTTGGTCATGCCTTCAATCCTAGCTACTCCAAAGGCTGTGATCTAGAGGACTGTGGTTAAAGGCCAGCCTGGGCAAAAAAAAATTCAGTGAAATAGCATCTCAACCCCTAGCTAGGTTTGTTGGTATGAAGCTGTCATCCTAGCTACAATAAAACACTGAAATTAAGCCTGGTGCTGGTGGCTCACGCCTGTAATCCTAAACTACTCAGGAGGCTGAGATCTGAGGATCGAGGTTCAAAGCCAGCCTGGGTAGGAAAGTCCGTGAGACTCTTATCTCCAATGAACCACCAGAAAACCAGAAGTGGCGCTGTGGCTCAAGTGGTAGAGCGCTTGCCTTGAGCTGAAGGGCTGAGGGACAGCGCCCAGGCCCAGAGTTCAAGACCCATGACCAACCAAAAAAAAAAGAATCCTTCCTCCATCCTACCAGGCAAGGTAACATCTAGCCTGGCGAGAGACTGTTTCTCTCTCTCTCTCTCCCATCATTTCCCATCATGTCAGACTCTTTCCTGGACCACAGCCAAAGAGCATAGGTGAGTAAGCACTCGGTCTAGACACGTCCTTCTCTGCTCAGAACCCTCTACGCCTCCCTCCTTACTCTGAATAAAATCCCAAATCCTCCCACAGGTTCACAAGGCCCTGTACAATCTTCCTTGTCACCACCTCCCTTCTCCCCTTCAATCACCCCATTCCAGCCCCACAGGCTCCCTTCTGTCCCTGGCAAGTTCCAACCCCAGGGCCTTTGCACATATTGTGTGCTCTGCCTGGTACCACCTCCCCTTGCCCTATTTGAAGGGTTTTTGTTCAAACAACACCTCCTCGAATAAACCTCAGCGCTCCAAATAGTCATCCTCTCAATATCACTTATTACGTTTCCTGTCATCTTCCCTCCTGTGAACTGGAGCTGATGAACAGGCCCAGTGGTGCACACCTGTAATCCCAGCGACTGAGGAGGCAGAGACAGGAATAGGGAGTGTGAGGTCCGCCCAGGCAAAATTAGCAAGACCCCAATCCTGCCTGTAATCCTAGTTACTTAAAATGCTGAGCTGTGGTGATCACAGTTCAAAGCCAGCCTAGGTAGAAAGTCCATGAGATTCTCATCTCCAATGAACCACCAAAAAGCTGGACGTGGAGCTGTGGCTCAAGTGGTCAAATGCCAGCTTTGAGTGAAAAATAAAAAGGAAAAAATTGGCTGGGGCCTGGTCTTGTGCCCTGCTCCAGCCCACCGGTGACTCACCGATTTTGTGTGCGATCTGAACACAGATCTCCTCTGCAGTCAGCAGGGAATCGCTGAAGGTGACCCAGGGCTCCCCACCTGCGGGCCCGACCCAGTGCAGCAGCACCTTCACACTTCCCACGGCAGCCATGGGCTGGGCGTCCACCGCTGTGGAGCTGGACTGGGCTGGAAATCGCTTCTGAAGGGACATGCTCCTCACGGCAGACCCCTGGGGAGGGACAGACAGTGTCAGCCACAAGGCCGACCTCACTAGATAGCCCTACTAGCTGCATCCACCTGGGCAGAGGCCTGAGGGGCAAATTTGGGGCTCCCTGGGTCTGAGAAACCTTAAGTACCCAATTCTCCTCCCTGGCAATAATGTCCATGCTTAATTGGAGAATGGGTTGTCAATCAACCCATTTGGGGTGGGAGGGACCCTACCTATACCACCCGTCAGCCATGCTAACATCAACCCCCCCCCCCAGGTTTTAGGGTGTGAGTCACCAGCACCCAGCTCCTCTTTTTTCTTTCTTTTTGCAGGTCCTCAGCCTTGAATTCAGGACCTGGGCACTATCACTAAGCTTTTGTGCTCAAGGCTAGCGCTCTACCATTGGAGCCATTTCTGGCTTTTCTGATGGCTCATTCAAGATAAGAGTCTGACAAACTTTCTTGCCCTGGCTAGGTTTGAACTGTGATCCTCAGCTCTCAGCCTCCTGAGTAGCTAGGATTACAGGTCTGAGCCACCAGTGTCCAAGTATTTTTTTTTTTTTTTTTGTTGGTCATAGGGCCTGAACTCTGGGCCTGGGCGCTGTTCCTCAGCTCTTCAGCTCAAGGCTAGTGCTCTACCACTGGAGCCACAGCACCACTTCTGGCTTTTTCTGCTTCTGTGGTGCTGAGGAATCGAACCCAGGGTCTCATGCATGCAAGGCAAGCGCTCTACCACTGAGCCACCTCCCCAGCCCCCCATGAGACTCTTATCACCAATTAAGCAACTAAAAACTGGAAATGGAACCGTGGCTCAGAAATAATACTCAGGCCCTGAATTCAAGTCCCAGGATAGGCACCAAAAAAAAAAAATCCACTCTAGCTCTATAGGGTGGTAGGCAATATGAAAAGTCTGTCCTTCCTCCCTCCCTCCCTCTCAAAAATCCACTCGGAACCAACCTTTCTGAAATAATCAGGCTGTGTTCAAACACTGCTGACATGGGGATTGTGCTGTAGTTTCCAGTGTCAGCTCAGGCAATTTGCTCAGCTACTCTGATCCTGGTTGCTCGTGGGGAGGAGAGAAGGGTGGGGAGAGGGTGGTGGTGTGGAAAAACAGCCCGCTGTCAACATGGTTCTGCGTGTTACATCTTCAGCATGGTCCTTGAATCAAGTAGGAAACAAACAAGCAAACAAATGCGATCTAAATCAGAATAAAATCACCATCAGAATGGACCGTAGCGTGGAAAAGTAGGAGTTCATTGATTCAACCAAGGTTTGGGTTTCAGTATCGGGATCGGTTTTCTTTCCTGTCGTCATGATTTCAATCTCCTACACCTCCAGGCCCTGGGGACTTTCCTGTCCAGTTTGGTTCCCCCAAATCCAGAGTCAGGACTCCAGAGATGGGGTGGGGGGGTTGTTACTGGTTTATGGCAAGGAGCTGGGAATTGGGGAATGTTGGCCTGCGGCTTCTCTCTGGAAAGTAAGACGCGATCGATCGGGGTGCCTGCCGCAGAGGACTGTGAGGAAGACTGGAGAGCGGCGGGCTGAGCTGCCTGGGTCCACAGCCGGCGCTGAGCAGAGGCGGGGACGCTCCCGCTGGGGATGGGCGTGCTAGCTCCCTTCCTCGGCCTCCGGAGAGCTCCAGCCAGGGTGGAACCTGCACCCGCCCCCCCCCCAAATAAACCAACCCCTCCAAACCCGGCGGTTCCGGGCGGTAACTGCGGGGTGCACTGGCTGGACATCCGGACCCGGGGCTCCCGTCCCGCACCTCCGGTCCGAGCGCTCGCCAGACCCGCCAGGCGCATGCGCCCTGCTGGCTCCCAGGCGCGCCCCCCGGGAGCCCCCCTCCCTCCCGTCTCCCTCCCGTCCCCCTCCCCTCCCGGATCCAGACTCACCCTGGGTGGAGGGGGCTCCGGCTGGAACCCGGGACCCGCCCCACCGCCGCGGGGAGCCGCTGCCGCCGGGCCGCGCGGACGCCCCTTCCCATTGGCTCCCAGATACGCGCATGCCCGCGGGAGGCCCGCCGCGTGTACCCATTGGTGGGGTCTCCAGGCGAGCTTCGCGCTGATTGGTTGGGGCGTCGCTCGACTCAAAGGCGATTGGTCGGCCCGGAACCCGGAAGCAAAACTGAGCTCATGATTGGCTGCCAGTGTGCCCGCGGCGATGTGGAAAAGGACGACCGCTAGGGCGGGCGGAAGCGTGTGGTCTCTGGGCAGTGTGTGGATCCCGTGGGTCGATCGTGACCCCGGGGCACGACCTGGAGCGTTCACTGTCAAGTCCTTGGTGGGTTTGGCCCTTCTGACCCTTGCTTTGGCTGTCAGATCCGGGCTGCCTTTGCGAAAGTGAGCTTGAAGCTGGGCACCAGTGCTCACTCCTGTAATCTTGGCTATTCAAGAGGCAGATCTGGGGGCTGGGAAGGTGGCTCAGTGGTAGAGCGCTTGCCTTGCATGCATGAGGCTCTGGGTTTGATTCCTCAGCACCACATAAGCATAAAAAAAAAGCCGGAAGTGGCGCTGTGGCTCAAGTGGTAGAGCACTAGCCTTGAGCTGAAGAGCTGAGGGGCAGCGCCCAGGCCCAGACAGAGTTCAGGCCCCACAAGCGGACCCCCCGCCCCCTCCCAAAAAAAATCAAGAGGCAGATATGAGGCTCCAGTTCAAAACCAACCTGGAACTGTGGCTCAAGTGGTAGAGCAGTCAGGCATGGTGGCTCACGCCTGTCATCCTAACTTCAGGAGGCTGAGATCTGAGGATCAAGGTTCAAAGCCAGCCTGGGCAGGAGAGACCGTGAGACTCCTATCTCCAATAAACCACCAGAAAACCGGAAGTGGCGCTGTAGCTCAAGTGGTAGAGGGCTCCCCTTGAGCTGAAGAGCTGAAGGACAGCGCCCAGGCCCAGAGTTCAAGCCCCACGGCCGACCAAAAAAAAAAAAAAAGCAGGGGTTATACCGTGGGGGAGAAGGCCCCCTGATTTTTAAGCCCCAGTCCCAGCACAAAATTAATGTTATTGAATTAATTCTCTTTTATTGTTCATAATAAGTCCCTCCAGCACCTTGTCCTTTCTAAGACCTCACATTGATCATCTGAGTTTCCAGATCTCTCACAAAACCTGGACAACAGGGGCTAAGATGTCCTAGGAAAACTTCATAAGATCTGCTTCTGAACTCAGGCAGCTCTGTGTGTGTGTGTGTGTGTGTCCGTCCGTCCACATGCTTAACAGTACTAGAACTTGAACAGCTCTCAGCATTTTTGGCTAGCCCCCCACCACTTGAACCACAGCTTCAATTCTGGCTTTTTGGTGGGTTAATTGGAAATAAAGAGTCCCAAGGACCTTACTGCCCCCAGCAGGCTTTTAACCTTGATTCTCAGATCTCAGCCTCTTGAGTAGCTTGGACCATTAAGCATGAGCCACTGGCATCCAACCGTAGTTTCTAGATGGTCTCTGGCCAGAGGCTGCCTGGCTTCCTAGCTATAGCACTTCCCTAGAACACTGGGGAAACTGAGGTAGAAGGAATGCTTGATCCTGGAAATTCCTAGCCAGCCTTAACATAGAGAGACTCTCTTTCAAACAAGCACTAACTGTTAGTATTATGCTTACCTTTAGTCCTCAGCTCCACCTAGGCCTGGGCCCCTTCCCATTCCTGGAGTTCCCTCCATACAGCGGGCGCCTCCCTCTCTCTGCCCAGACCCACCCAAACTCCCATCCACGTCACTTTCTCTCCCTCAGACCCTCCTGCTACATGCATGGTGACCGAGGCCATGTGCTCCCTCTTGGGGGAAATATGGCTCCTTTTATAATCTTTCTCCTGTGCCTGCCTGCCTCTGCGTGGTCCCCTGGGATGGATGTGTGGAATTCTCTTACAATAACAAAATCAGAGGGCTGAGGGCTCAGGCCTGTAATCCTAGCTACTCAAGAGGCAGACCTGAGGATCGCAGTGCAAAGCCAGCCTGGAGTTGTAGCTCAAGTGGTAGAGCACCTGCTGAACAAGCAGGAGGCCCTGGGTTTGATCCCCAGTACTAACAAATAAAAATAAGACAAGATTTCAAATGGGGCTGGGAAGGTGGCTCAGTGGTAGAGTGCTTGCCTGGCATGCATGAGGCCCTGGGTTCCATTCCTCAGCACCACATAAGAAAAAAGCTGGAAATGGCACTGTGGCTCAAGTGGTAGAGCGCTCGCCTTGAGCTGAAGAGCTGAGGGACAGCGCCCAGGCTCAGAGTTCAAACCCCATGGCTGACCAAAAGAAAAAAAAAAGATTTCAAATGATAAGCCACAAAGCTCCCAAGTCGAGAAATAATATAGGCACAAGTAGCTCACATCTGTAATCCTAGCTACTCAGGAGGTTGAGTTCCCAGTTCAAAGACAACTCAGGTAAGAAAGTCTGTGAGACACTTATCTCTAATTAACCAGTAAAAAGCCAGAAGTGGAGCTGTGGCTCAAGTGGTACAGCACCAACCTCGAGCAAAAGTTCAAGGACAGTGACCAGGCCCTGAGTTCAAAGTGGAGAAGCAGTACAACAGCAACAACAAAATAGCCAGGGGCCTGTGACTCACGCCTGTCATCCTAGCAACTCAGGAGACAGATCTGAGGATCATGGTTTGATACCAGTTCCAACAGGAAAGCCGGTGAAACTCTTTTCCCCAATTAACTAAGAAAAATACCAGAAGTGGAGCTGTGGCTCCTGCGATAGAGCACAAGCCTGGAGCAAAAATGCTCAGGGACAACTCCCAGGTATATCTTGAGTTCAAGTTCCAGGACCAACACAAAAGAACAAAAACAAACCAACAACAAAACCTGCCAGGTGCTGTGGCTCCCGCCTGTCATCCTAGCTACTCAGGAGGCTAAGATCTGAGGATCACGGTTCAAAGCCAGCCCAGGCAGAAAAGTTCATGAGACTCATCTCCAATGAGCCACCAGAAAACTGGAAGTGGTGCTGTGGCTCATAGTGGTAGAGTGCTAGCTTTGAGCAAAAGAGCTCAGGGACAGTGCCCAGGCTCTGAGTTCAAGCCCCAAAATGGAAAAAAAAAAAAAAAAAAACCCAAAACAAAACACCTGCAGTGTTTCAGATCCGCTTCTTGTTTTCACTCAGCTTTTTCTCAGCGACTACTTCCTTGCTGCATTTTTCACCCAAGCACGATCTCAATTCTCTGTGTGTGTGTGTGAATGTGCGCGTGTGTGCAGGTACACACACAGCATTTTAGTAGTCTGGAAGATAAGAATCTCCCGGACTTTTCTGCCCGCGCTGTTGTCCAACTGCAACCCGGAGAATTTTAGCTTCCTGAGTAGCTAGGATTACAGACGTGAGTCACCAGTGTGAGGCTGGAAGTTCCTTCGAGCAACTGTCCCGTTCTGGAATGTTAGCCCTGTGAGAGGGGAAGGAAGGGAGGCAGGGGCCTGCTTGTCTGCTCAGGACCTGGAATTGGGCCTGGCAGCCGCTACTGAAGCCAAGCCTAGAGCTGAGAAGCTAGGCCATTGTCTTTTGTGCAGCGGAAGGACCGGCCATGGCCTTCCGGTGGGGGCTTCCTTTTCTACTAAGGGTCCCCACCAGGGCTTAGAGGCAGGAAACAGAAGGTGCCAGAATCAACAGGCAGCTCGCTCCAAGGTTTGGATGGTGAACTATAGAGGGAGGGGTGTGTGGAAGGGGGGAGGGGGGGAGACTCGATTCATCTACCCAGGACTTGCTGTTCATGTTTGGCACCATAAGTCATTACGATAATGGAGGTAATGAACCCAGCAATAATAATAAACACTAGCTCACCCTTAGGCAGAGGGGGACAAGGCCTGGATGTTTATTATTGCAAAGTTTATTTTTTTCCCCTTCCTTTGTTTTTGTTGGTCATGGGGCTTGAACTCTGGGCCTGGGCGCTGTCCCTCAGCTCTTCAGCTTAAGGCGAGCGCTCTACCGGCTGAGCCACAGCGCCGCTTATGGTTTTCTAGTGGTTTATCGGAGATAAGAGATTAATGGACTTTCCTGCCCGGGCTGGCTTTGAACCCTGATCCTCAAATCTCAGCCTCCTGAGGCGCGAACCACCGGCGCCCGGCTCTTTCCTTCCTTTCTTCCTCTCTCTCTCTCCAATAGTTTTATTTTTTGGCAGTCCTGGGGCTTGAACTCAGGGCCTGGACACTGTTCTTGATCTTTTTTTTGCTCAAGGCTAGCAATCTACCATTTAAACCATGGCTCTACTTCTCGCTATTTAGGGGTCGTTTATTAGTAGGTAAGTCTCACAGACTTTTCTGCCCAAGCTGGCTTTGAACCCTGACCCTAGATCTCAATCTCCTGAGTAGGTTGGATGACAGGCTTGAGCCACTGGCGTCCGCTCCTCTGATCTCTTCTTTCTTTTTCTTCCTTCCTTCCCTCCTTCTCCTCCCTCTTCTTCTTCCTCCCCAGTGACTGGCCCGCAGCTTCACTTCTGCTAAGCAAAGGGGTCTCCCTTCCAGCTCTACTCCCAGCCCTGCCTTCATTCTTTCTAAGCAGGGCTGAACCCCCAACACCCTTCCTCTTCACCTTGGAGAAGAGATCAGGGGGCTGGTAAGGTCTTGGTTCTTCCAGAACTTGCCTGTTTTAGACTTGACCAGGGCCGAGCAGGGAGGCACCAGGCCCCATAAACTTACTAGAGCTTTCAGGGGGGTTCCCCAGCTTGGGGACTTTCCATTCAACAATGGGACTGTCCTGGTCTAAGCAGGAAGGTTAGCTACATTTCAGGGCTGGGAGTTTCCCCTAAGGTAGCCGGCAGCTCCCGCTGGACCGGGGAAAGCCGAGAGCTGGCAAGCTCAAACAAAGCCCCGCGTGCTTTTCACTGCGAGAGCTCAGCCCATCGCTGGCCCTTTCCGGAGACCATGAGGGGAGTTGTGAGTTTCCTGGGAATCTTTTCACGATTCCGTGCCTCGCTAGACACACGTGGGAACCCAGAGTCCCTGGGAAATTTCACACGGGCAACCACAGCAAGGTACATAGACAAAGGCTGGCACTGAATCAAACCTCAATTCTGCCACTGCGTGACTTTAGGCCGCAACTCAACCTCACTCAGCGCCAAGGCGAGCGGCTCTACCACTTGAGCCACGGCGCCGCTTCTGGTTTTCTGGTGGTTTATTGGAGATGAGTCTCTCGGACTTTCCTGCTGGGCTGGCTTTGAACCTCAATCCTCAGATCTCAGCCTCCCGAGTAGCTAGGATTACAGGTGTGAGCCACTGACACCCGGCTCTTTTTTGACTCTGTAAAAATGGAACTATTTCTAGCTGTGGTAGGGCATGCCTATAATCCCAGAACCTGGGGAGGGGAAACAGGAGGAGCTTGTATTTGAAGGCTATGGAGTGAGACTCTCATAACAAAACAAAGCTAGGGGCCAGTGGTTTATTCCAGTACTCCTAGCGACTCTGGGGACAGGTTAGGGAAAATCATGGTTGCACAACAACTGACATCTGATGGACTCCATCTCAATTCATCAGCTGGTATCGTGGTGTACACCTGCCATTCTAGCATAAACACTCCTGTGGCATAGAAGAGCTTAGGCAAAAAAGAAAATACTCTGAAAATAAGAGAAAATAGGGGGGGGATGATCGGGTGGGGGGATGTGGGGGGAATATGGGAAGGGGAAACAAAGAGGAGGCAACAATGCTTGATAAGAAATGTACTCATTATCTTGTCCATGTAATTGTAACTCCTCTGTACAGTATTCTCACAATTAAAAAGAGAGAAAATAGGCTGGAGGTTTGGCTCTATTCAGAGAAGAGTGAAGTCCAGAGCAAGGGGCTATTCATTTAAACATCCCTTGCCTAGGAACCAGTGGCTCATGCCCATAATCCCAGCTACTCAGGAGGCTCTGGAGCTGTCCCTGCACTCTTCAGCTCAAGGCGAGCGCTCTGCCACTTAAGCCACAGCGCCACGTCTGGCCTTTTCTATGTGGTAGTGAAGAATCGAACCCAGAGGCTCATGCATGCAAGGCAAACACTCTACACTGAGCCACCTTCCCAGCCCCAGCTGGAGACTCTTATCTTCATTAAACTAAAAAAAAAAAGCCCAAGTGGTAGTGTTAACCTCAGGCACAAATGTTCAGGGACAGTAGCCACGCCCCAGTCAAACCCCAAGTCTGGCACACATTAAAAAAAAAAAAGTCTTGGCTAGTTTTCTTTTTGCTGTTTATCTTGTGTGTGCATTTAACCAGCAAAAAAAAAAATTAAAAATTAAATCTGGACATGAAGCTAAGGAGCAAACAGTAGAGTGCTAACCTTGGGCAAAAAAAAAAAAAAAAAAAAAAGCTCTAGCAACAGTGCCTAGGCCACAAGTTCAAGCCCCAGGACCAGCACATACACCAAGTACGCTGAGATGCCACTCGGTGTGCAGCTCGCCACTGCCACCTGGTGGTACTCTGTGGGAACAGCAGCATTCTGGCAGCTCTTTCAAATACTGCTTTGGCAAAGGTTTCCGGGGGGCCTGCTGTGTGCCAGGCTCCTTCACCGGTTCCGTGGCCATCACAGGGAATGGCACCTCTGGAACATGGGGAAGCTGATGCACTGATCGGCAAAAAGAAAAAAGAAAGAAAAAGCTAGACATGGAGCTGTGGCTCAAGTGGTAGAGCACTAGCCTTGAGCAAAAAGCTAGGTCAGTGCCCAGGATGAGTTTTAAGTCCCAGGACTAGTGCAAAAACAAAAAAGTAAAAAAAAAAAAAAAAAAAACCACCAACAAGCCAGGCGCTGGTGGCTCACGCCTGTCACCCTAGCTATTCAGGAGGCTGAGATCTGAAGATCACGGTTGAAACACAGACCAGGCAGTAAAAGTCTGAATCTCTTGTCTCCAATTAACTACTGAGAAAAAGCTGGAAGTAGGCCTATGGCTTACGTGGTAGAGTGCTAGCCTTGGGCACAAAGAGGCTCAGGGGCAGTGGCCAGGCCTGGAGTTCAAACTCAGGGACTAGCAACACAAACAAACAAAAAAATCAACAAAGTGGCTCAGCTGACTACAGACATTGACACAAATTCTGAAGAACTGGGGCAGGCCAGCCCAGGGGCAGAACCCGTGTACACATAGAATGCATGAGGTCCGGGGTTCACCCTCCAGCAAAGGAGCGCAAAAGAAAGGGAAAGAAAATGAAAAATGAAGAGGGAAAATTAAAAAAAAGAGAGAGAGAGAAGAAAAAGCTGGGAATAGCAGTCCCCTTCTGTAATCTCAGCTATATGAGAAGAATAGAGGATCTTGATCCAGGCTGGCTAGGGTAAAAACCAGAGATCCGAGATCCTAGGTGAAGATCACTATTGCCAAAAAGGGCCGTAGGCATGGTTCAGCCGTAGAGTGGCCTGCTTTAAGCAAGGCCCAGGCCCTGAAAGTGACTCAGTGGTAGAGTGCTTGCCTAGCATGCATGAAGCCCTGGGTTCGATTCCTCAGTACCACATACACAGAAAAAGCTGGAAGTGGTGCTGTGGCTCATGTGGCAGAGCACTAGCCTTGAGCAAAAACAGCTCAGGGACAGCGCCCAGGGCCAGAGTTCAAGCCCCAGAACTAGCAAAGAGAGAGAGCAAAAGAAAAAAGTTTATACAGCTCAGTTGAGCGTGAGTGGGCTGGAAAGAAAGGGGTGTCAGGTATAAAAACTGCGGCTCTAGCCTGGTGAGCAGCACAAGAGGGACTCCGGAGGGAGCTGCCCTGGTGCGGGGCTTACAGACGCCCCCTGGCGGCTGCCTGGGTGTCCTGCAAGAGGTGGCAACAGGTTTTAGTGTGCAATGGGGACGGAAGCCTTGGCAGGGAAGAGTATGGAATAGAGGGGAGATCCCAGATCCCCCTTTTTCGGGGAGGGGGGGGGCATTGGGCAGGGACGGGGAGCCAGGGACCTCCTTTGATGCAGTGGCATCGGAAGAAAACTGTTCCAGGTGGTGGAACAGCATGTGTCAGGGCCAGGAAACAAGGAAGCAGCAGCAAGCCCACTGGGTTCCACACGTGCCCCCCACCCTGTCCCCCTGGCAAAGGAAGGGCTGGGCCCCCACGAGCATCTGACATCCTTTATTAGACCATTTCATAGAAGAACGGACAGCAGAGGGACCGGGAAATGAAGACCCACAGTGATGGCCCCTTGGCTGGCACACACGCCCCACCCAGAGGATGGGCCCGGCCACCTCTGCCCCCTCCCTGGACCCCCGGCCTTTGGCATAATGCTGATGGGGGCTGCAGGCAGTGAGGCCCCTGTACTCAAAGCAGACACTCGGGAGGTGGGGGGGGGGAGGAGAGGAAGAAGGGGCGCCCTGGGAGGTGGGGCTGGGAGAGCAGCAAGTGGAGGAAGCTGGGGGCTGGGGAGACGTGTCTATTTTCATTTTTCTGAAAAGGGGTGCAAGAGGTCCGCGGGCAGGTGGCCGCTGGTGGCAGTGGCTGGAGGGGTGGGGTGGGGGTTCAGGCGCTGATGTCTTTCCCATCGCCCGGCTGGGGGACGGTTTCCAGCACTGGGTCCCCAGGGCCCGCCTCCTCCCCCTCCTTGGCCTCACTGGACTTGGAGTTGGGGACCCAGAGGCCAGAGTCGATGCAGCGCTGCATGTGATACTTTGCTTCCTGTGGGGGGGGGGGGGAGCAGAGGTGAGGCTGGCCGGCCACACCTTGAGGCCCTGAACCTGCACCCTACGGGCTGTGATGGCCTGTGGGCAGAGCGGCCAGTGGGCCGCAGCTGGCCCCAGAGCCCCCACGGGGCCTTGAAGGAAGGAATTTGTCTTCGGGGCTAGGTACTGAACCCAGAATGCATCAGGCAGGCATTAGTATCCCTGGCTGGGCGCCAGTGACTCACGCCTGTAATCCTAGCTACTCAGGAGGCTGAGATCTGAGGGTCAAGGTTCAAAGCCAGCCCAAGCAGGAGTCTGTGAGACTCTCACCTCCAGTGAGCCGGCAAAATATTAGTAAGTGGAGCTGTGGCTCAAGTGGCAGAATCCCCAGACTTGAAAATGCCAAGGGACAGCGCCTAGGCCAAGTTCAAGCCCCAGGACAGGCACACAGGCCACGTGCGGGCACACAGTAGGTGCTCAACACAGGCCGGTGCAGCATTGTCCTTCTGCCCCTCCCCTGTGCAGAGGCCGGGAGCCTGGGCTACTCACGCTGGGGTCCATCTTGCTGATGGCGTCTTGGAGCATTTGTACGTCCTTCACGTCAAAGCACTTCTGCAGCTCCTGCGGGGGCATGGGTCAAAGGTCAGGGGTCAGAGCCTCGAGACTCATGGCACCCCTCCCTGCCCGCCGCCACCAGCGGCCTGGGACACGCACCTCTGGGAGGGACTCGTAGACTTCCACAGGGTCCAGGCCACCGGGGCCCAGGCGCTTCTTGCGCTCCTCGGCCTCGTACTCCTTCATGGCCTTCTCGATGCGCAGTTTGGCCCGGCCACGCACGCGCTCTTTGAAGGCAGATAGCTCATCGTTGAAGCCCTCCATATACTGGTGGTCTGCTGTCTGTGGAGGGTGGGGTGCTCACTGAGGGACCAGGGACCACCCCTTGTCAGTTCCCAGAGAGCCCTGGGGCTCAGCTCCCCAGGTCTGGCTCTAATTATACAATCAATGCCCCAAGGCCTGCCCTCTCTCCTCTGCCGTCTACCTGGCTCAGGACCTGCGCCTGCCTGAACCCCAGCTTCAACCCCACGCCAGTGCCATGACACCCTCTTCTTTCTTTTTTTTAGTCGGTTGTTGAGGCTTGAACTCTGGGCCTGGGCGCTGTCCCTGAGCTCTTCAGCTCAAGGCGAGCGCTCTACCGCTTCAGCCACAGCGCCACTTCTGGCTTTTAACAGTTACATGGTGCTGAGGAATCGAACCCAGGGCCTCTCGCATGCTAGGCAAGCGCTCTACCACTGAGCCACCTTCCCAGCCCCCTCCCTCCTCTTTGATGTCCATCCACACTGGGGATTCACCCAGGATTTGATCTTGATTTCACCCAGTTTTGATCATTCCTCTGTGCCAGGCTTCTCTGCCTCTGTTTCCCCAATCTCAGTAAGGCAGCTTCTTTTCCAAGTGCCCGGGCCAAAAATACGGGCATGGGCACTTACGCCCCCAAATTGTAGCCACTGGCACCTCCTCTTGCTCTAGGTTCAAACGCTGGCAGCGAGTCCATCACTGCTCACCTGTCCACCGGCTTGAAGCTCTCTACCTATGCCCCCCAGCACAGAGGCCGAGTCCCGAAGCAAACCCTGATTTCTGGAGTAGGAGATGCGCCCTACCTTAATCTTCGTGAAGAATTGCCGGAAGCAGGCCCGCGGGTCCACCTTCAGGCTCTTGGCTAGCTCCAGGATGAACTGCATGACGATGGTTTGGTGGGCCACCTGCTCCATGAGCGCACATTTCTGCCGGAGGACCAGAGGCGGGAGGTCACCAAGGGGGCTCACCACCGGGCCATCTCCCAGTGAGGGTCCCCGTGCGGGGCGCGGCTCACCTCCTCCACCTCCAGGTCGATGCACCAGATAACCAGGTAGTTGGCTGTCTCTTCGCACACCAGATGCACGTTGTCTGATAGGTATTTCTGGCTGTCGTCCCAGCGGCGGAGCATGCCTAGGGAAGCCCACGGGGAAAGTTCTAGAAGGGCCTTGGAGGGCAAGGGCCGGCCCTCCTCCTCCCCGATCCACTCACCAAAGTGCTTGATCTGCTTCTCGTACTTCTCCACGAAGGTCTTGTGTTTCTGCTCTCTCACCTCCTCCGAGTCCTCCTCCGCCTTCTCAGGCTTGGTATTCACCATGCTCTGTGACAGGGCGAGAGGGGAAGTGGGCTGGGGTGCGGGTGCGGCTGCGGGGCGCCGGGCGCGCGGGCGCGGGG